CCATTTGCACATACAATAGCTGGGGTGATGGAAACTGTAGTCCAAGGATAGCTTCCGGTTGCATGATGGATACCCATATAAATGGATTGAATATCCCCACCCAACCCTCCTCTCGCTTCTCTTCCCCCCCCCTTTCATCTTTACTCAGGACCGGTGCCTATTTTCTGTCTCCTGGAGGGATGTTTGTTTATAACAGCACCCCAAAACAACATAGGCTAGATTACTGCATGTAGATGTATCATACACTCAAGAGACAATGAATATGTAGGATGTTCTACTTGTGAAATTGATATTTCATTCAACATTTCCTTCTGTTTCCATATGTCTGACAAAGTGGACGTGTCCATGAAAGCTTCTGTTAAAATATAATAATTAGTTTTTAAGGTGCAACTTTTTTTTGTTCTTTGCATTTTGCATGATATGTTTGCACAGACTAACATGGCTACCTCCTTGAAAATTACCAGTGATCCTAGAATACAGTGGGGTCTCTACTTAAGAACGTCCCTACTTAAGAACGATCCAACTTAAGAACAGCTCCATTTGCTAAATTTTGCTTCTACTTGAGAACAGAAATCCAAGATAAGAACAGGAAAAAAAAACCTTTCCTGCTCTTTTTTTAACCTTAGGTCATCTTAGGTTAAAAAAAATTCTCCCCCTAGTGGTAGAGTACGTATTAACCAGCTTTGCATTAGTTCCTATGGGATTCCAAAACGGATTAAGTTCTTAAGTAGAGGTTCCACTGTAGTTTCTATGGACGGAAAAGAGCAGATACGGATTAAATGGTTTTCAATGCATTCCTATGGGAAATGCAGATTCAACATAAGAACTTTTCAACTTGAGGACCACCTTCCAATACGGATTAAGTTCTTAAGTAGAGACCCCACTGTATGTTCTCTGGGGTAAAACCACTAAGCAGCACACTAACCACTCATGGGAGTGCTCTTTGGTCAGTAATAACTGATAACCCACAGCTATGAAAGGGAGAGACTAGCTGGTTGTCTCTTTGTTTTGTGAGTGGGTGTGAGTTCCTTGGAGATTTTGCTGATATAAGATTGATTAATTAATTAATTAATTTAATGATTCTTAAGGTGTTGTAGTCTTGCTCATTATTTGTTTTGTATATTTATACACTGACTTCCAAACTACTTCCTTTTCCCAACCCTAATGCCTGCGGGTTCCTGCATTTCTAAAAGCAGAGAAATCACCCAAGGAGAAAAATACTGTTTGAAACAAAAGGTTATAGCAAAAGTGGGAAAATTCAGGTCACAGATCAACCTCCCCCATTCAAAGCAAACAAGTGAAAGAAACATACTCTTCTTTTGTCTTAACTTCCAACACAAGTAAACAGTGTAACACCCCATCCCCAGCCATCTCAGCCTATAGCATATCACTGGTGTTGCGCAATAATGGAAATTAATCACAAGCTGAAATGAAACACAGCCAACAGCAGACCCACAGCATGCCCCTGTCCACAGTTACGTAGTTCCAGTGGTGCAACAGATCTACCTTTGAGGGAAGGAAATCTTGTTGTGTCTAATAGGCTTACTTGTTACTAGGTAGTATTTATGGGAGGGGAATTGACCATGATTTAAATTATTTTTAAGAAGCAACTTGCTAAGACTGAAGACTGTCCACACTGGCATATGGTTATGGTTTACGATTGTCCGATAGCACTATTTGGCATGGAGAAACAGACCTCACCCGCTCGTATTTCTACTTAACATTAGCCATCTTTCCCCTTTAAGTGCTGGCCCATATCTTTCTGGCAAAGGGCTAGGGCGTGCAATCTTTTGGGGACAATTAGTTGAGATGCAAAATAGCTCTTTGCTCTGCCTTTGCAGATGGGTACTTGAGTTATAAAGCATTGCATTGAAGATTTTAGCTTTTAACCTTTTAAGCACCAGCTGGATCACACCAAGTTTAACAGTGTGGACAGACCTTTAGTGGAAAAGATTTCTCTCTGCCAGAAATCTCTTAGAAGAGTCTGTTCATTATAGGAAGTAAATGATTTAGAACATTCTAAAGCTGAGAAATTACATTTCTGACCACTTGGTGTCTCCTGCAGGCTGTGAATTGAATGACAGAGCAAGGACATTTGTGGTGGAAGAAGATGATGATTTACTAGAACACCTTATTTACTTGAGAATGGTGAGGTGGTGTGAGGAAGCTCCTTGTTCCCAGTAATAGGCATAACTTGAGCACAGCTTCTGTTTACCAACATTCCTCAGGGGTCTGGGAATTCTGGGACCTGCCGGATAGTGTTGGATTCCAGGTCCCATCAGCCTCAGCCAAGGAGTCCAGTGGCCAAGGATGCTGGAATTGGAGATAAAAAGTTGGAGTTGGAAGTAGGAAGTTACACATAACATAGCTGATTATAGGATAGCAAAGGTGTAACTGAAAAACATTTCACAAGTAACATAATGAATAAGATCAAAGTTACCTGTATTGATGCAACAAGTAAGGCTTTCTCATTATTTTCAAGGTTTACTTTTAATCATCAGAGTTGGAAGGGATCCTATGGATCAGTGGTTCTTACCCTTGGGTTACTCAGGTGTTTTTGAACTGCAACTCCCAGAAACCCCAGCCAGCACAGCTGGTGGTGAAGGCTTCTGGGAGTTGCAGTCCAAAAACACCTGAGTAACCCACGGTTAAGAACCACTGCTATGGATCATCAAGTCCAGCCCTGTCAAGAAGGTGTAGTAGGGAATTAAACTCCCAACCTCTGACTCTGCAGCCAGATAGTTAAGCCACTGAGCTATCCATCAATGTAAAATATTTTGGCAGATGTTTTTCATGTTTTATCATGGTGATTCGTGCTGGTTCTTCCTTTGATGTTCGGTGGTTCCCAGCCCAACCTCCTTTGGCGGGAACCCACTCAGAGGAAGTGCCTCAGCTTCTCTGCCCCGCCTCCTCTGGTGGCTGCCTCCGAGTGGGTGCCTGCCAGGGGAGGCAGGGTTGGGAAGCGCTGGACACCTGTTCACCCAAAGGGTTAAACTGGCACAGAACCACAGAACCAGCAGTTCATGCCCATCTCTAATTCTAATCTTTTCTCTCAAACATAACAAAAAGTCAGGAAAAAAGTAAAGAGCACCAAAATACCTAATGGAACAGGTTCCTTTTTCAACATTGTAATGACTTGAGTAACAACTGTGGGCTGCTATTTAAGCACTGTGGCTGAAATTCAGCAATGTACCTTAACACTGGTTTTTCAGAAATTAAAAATCTACACTGAAAGTCCCAGTGCTCCTTAGGGATACTCTTAATTGTGGGGAAATCAGTTGGGGGCTGCAGCTTGGAGAGGAAGTCTGTAATCTCCAAAACATGCTGATACCAAGGTGTTTTTTAAGGGAGTATCAGACAGTTTTAATTTTAAAAAAAATTGCTGAGGCTGATGACAGCATCAGCTTTCTGCAGGGTGCATTACACTGCTGAATTTCAGCCTCTGTCAAGAAAAGAGAATAACTTTCAGAAAGTCAGTTTCCTTCCTATTTTGAAAACATTTCTTCCATTGAGTTTACCACAGAGAACATGTGGAGTAACCAACAAACCCCGATGTTTAGAAAATTCATGATCCCAATGAGCAGCCTAGTTGAATTTGGAAAGGTTTCAATTAAATCCATAGTTCCTGAGAGTGGCATCTAATAACATGGCGTGTCTTGCTTCTCCAGGTGTCTCTTGGTGAAGATGCTGATGATGAACCTCATGTGGTAGCTGTAGAGAGCAAGAACATGGCCAGTGTCCCCAAGCCAGTGCCAATCGCTTCTCTGTGTCAATCCGTCTTACCCATGGTAATGCCAGAGGACAACAAGTCATGCTGAAGCACCCCTTGGAACACTGAGACAGAGAAATGTTTGAGTTGCATGTTAAGGGTGTGTCTTTCATGGACTGTCTTCCCCTACATCTCAGTGTTCTTATGCAAGAGTCAGACAAGTTCATGAAAGGTGCATCTCAGGAGCTCTTGGCCAACTTGTAGTGGAAAGTGAGCATTCATCATCACAGTGCCCACAGCCACGCCACAAAGCAGAACCCAAAAATGCAGGTGGTTCTAGTCATTTTCCTCTCCACCATCAGTTCTTTTGTAAAGCTAAAGGACCTATTCAAGACTAAATTGCCCCAAAATAATCTGCACAACAACACTGGGAACTCACAACAGTGTATTGTTGCCGGAGGAAATCATTCCTCTTCTTTATTACAGTAAGCTCCAGGAAACAGAGGAACCTGAGGAAGGTGATGTCATGCCTGATTGTGGTAAAGTCATGGGGTTTCCAGAATTCAACTCCACAGCCGTTGCCTCATTACAAGACTGTTTGGCCACAATAGTTAAATCTTTCAGGTTTACAGAAGCAGTGCCACTGAATCAGAGCCTTGAAAAATTACTCCTCAGATTGGCTCCAGGAATCACAGAGCCTGCATGGCCATGATTTAGAGTAGAGTGGGGGAGACATGGCACCTCAGATAGTTTTGGATTACCGCCCCCATCAGCCCTACCCACATAACCAAATGGCGAGAGCTACAGCTGATCAATATCAGGAGGGTCATGCATTCCCCTTCCTTGGCTTTCGGAGAGTGACCCCCGTCCAGATGTTGATCAGCTGCAACTCCCAGCATCTCTCATATGCTGGCAAGGGCTGATGAAATCTGCAGTCAAATAACATATTGAAGGCCTGCACCTTGCCCCTCTTGGCTTTTGACCAATTTGGTCTGATTATTGCTGCGATGCTACAGGAAGAACCTTAGTTAGTTAGGCATCCTTCAGTCTTACAGGAAGAACCTTATATCTGTGGGATCAGTATTCACTTACCCACAGTCTGAAAATATTAAAAAATATTAAAAGAAAAATCCTAGAAATATATATATTTCAAGATGAAGTTACCAGAACTGGCCATGAGAGAGAACAGGTGACCATGATATGTATAGCATTCACTATTAAAATAGCATTTGCTATAATTTTTTTCAGCATCTGCAGGGGAAATTGGAACCGATCACCCACAGATACAGGGATCCTACTGTATAGTGTAATTCTTCCAACTTTGCAGTAGAACATAGAAGAAAAACATTGTAAAACCTAATGTGTTGCTTTAAAAACAGGTCTCTCTTGATGGCTTGGAATTAATCCCTCCCGTTACTTTTTTACTGAAGTCTGGAGCTGGGCCAGTTTACCTCAGTGGACATCACCTGATCTGTGAGTGAACCAACCCTCCCCCTGCTGCTTGGTGAATGAAAGGAATTTCTAATGGCAGGAGAGCTGGAAATGATTAGACTGGGTATCCATTCAGAAGATTCAAGACAATAAGGATGGCGTTTCCTAACTACTTTAAACAACTTAATGGCTTTGTGTATGCATTTAACAACCAGACCTCACAGATCTTCTGGTGTGATGGTGCCATCCACTGTATTCGGTATTAAGGGATGCATAAAAATGTTCAGGCAATGCAATTTGGGATGCTGTGGCACTTAATGGGAACTGCTAGAAGCTCTTCAATGGATGTCATGAGGCGAAATGCATTACCGGCCCCGAAAAGCAGCTATAGGTGTTCACAGAAAAGTTGTGGAAGTTGGTTGGAATACTTAATGTGTGAGTGTTCCTGGATGCTAGCTGTCTTTGTTTCTGTTCATTTACTGTATGCCCATTGAAAACTGAGCCTGGCTTTGACTGTTGATTTCTTCTAAAGAATTATGGGGGAAATGCAGTTTAGAACTCAAGGATTTTGGTCTCATTTGTCTTTATGAGATTTGCAATTCTCAGAATTCCTAGAGGAAAGCCCAAATAGTTAATCTACCCACCCAACCTAAAATGGGTCTTGTGGAGGCACCAATTCTAATTGCATTAGGGTAGTGTCAGACGGCTTGCTTCTAAGTCATACGTGTTGCCAGAGGTCATGTTCTGTTTCTTCTCCATACCAGATTGCCCCCATCCTAAATCTACAGACATTCAACTAAAGGTGCAATTAGGGATTATTTTTCTTCCTGTTTGATTCACTCCGGGGACAGGCTGGTTCCCTCCTCTTCCTGGCAGTGGCATGGGCCATCACAAACTAGCCTGTCTCAGATGCGTTCCTACCCACATTATTTTGCTCCATGTCAGTGACTATTGTTTTTAATTTTTTTAGTGACAGGTAAGACTGCTCCATTTTGGTTACATCCCAGCCCATGCTGGGATCAAACCAACAATGAGGGCTTAAGCTTTCAGTTCCCAATACCATTGAGTAAGCTTAATTATTCACAATCTTGGAAAAACGGAAAGCTTCCTCCTCCTTCTCCATGGAGGGGGAGAGAGAAGCAGTAAAGGTCTTTTTGTTTGTTTGTTTGTTTGTTTGGAGCCTTGCAAAGCAGTACTAATGTGCTACGCTTTTGGGGGTAATTTTTTAAAACAAAGAATGCTTCCTCCCAGAAGGAGGAGTGGACAATAAGGAGGATTTTTTGTTCCTTCCTTCCCACTTTAAAGGGAGGTGAGCCAAATGGGGTCACCTGAGGTACAGTGTGGTTTCCTGACCTGAAACCACCTGACCCTTGTGTGTGGATGCAAGGATCACACCAAATGGCATACCACACCTCTGTGTGACCTTAAATGACCCTATGGAGGCATCTCCAGCTGGCTCCAATTTGGCTATCTGGCCAAACCCTCAGTATCCTACCACCATGGCCAATTGTCATGGATAATGGGAATTGAAGTCTGTTAACTTCAGGAGGCCTGCACATTGTTCCCCATTGCCCTACAGCCAGAAGTGATCTTGGGGACCTATGTGATTTAGGCCAACCAAAATCCCTGAGACATCTGTCAGATGCAGTGTTTATTAATAAGACAATATGTCAGTTCTCAGCATTGTGTTCTTTTTTAAAAAAAAATAGTTCACTCTTTGCTGTCATTATGACATCACAGCTTGACCTTGCTTCCATTCTCCTTTCCCCAGCCCATCACTCTTAACTGGCACAGAACCCAGTGGAGTACATTGCCTGAAGCCACCTAGTAACAGAAGGCAGGGGTGTCTCCTCTATCTCAACAGCCAGGACTTGTTTTTTTACACTTTTCTACCTTTCTCATTGCCTATGGCTGTTTGGGTGATGACCTCCAAAGGAAGAAAGTTGTGGTGTTGGTGGTTCCTTTGTTTAATACTGCCCTGTAATTCTCTTTTCCAAGTGGACGAAGATTCTGATTATGAACCTTCAGATGAAGAGCTTCCATCTAAACCGGCTGATGATGACATGGATCAGACCAATCTTGAGGATGAGGAAGATGACGCTACCCCTGAGTCGGAAGCAACAAGATCACTTCCATGGTCCCCAGGATCAAGGTTTAACGGTATACTTTGGTTTTGAGTATCACTAGAACTGAAAGATTTGATATGCTGAAAATCAGTAGTGGCCAGGATCTAGAGTCCTTTAATTAATATATTCTATTATATGTCACTTTTCTCATATTGTATTATATTATAACTCAGTGGTTCTTAACCTTGGATTACTCAGGTGTTTTTGAACTGCACCTCCCAGAAGCCTTCACCATCAGCTGTCCTGACTGGGGTTTCTGGGAGTTGCAGTCCAAAACTCCTGAGTAACCCAAGGTTAAGAACCAGTGTTATAACCCACAAAAATCATACTATTACAACACAACCAAGCAAATCATAAAATTAAAACAAAATTGAATTAGAAGTGATGTAAAAGCACAATCATTTTTAAAAATGCTGCCTCCACCCATTGAAAGGGTCATTTGTCCAAATGCCTTCTAACTGAAAAGGCCTTTGTCTGCTAGAGCAGATCAAGGAGAAGGTTAGTCATGCGTCCCATGGAAAAGAGGGCCACACTTACAAAATGCCACTGGAACAGCCATCTAAAGCCTCCAGACAGCCCACCCAGACCTCCCAGATCACATCTACTAGGTGGTGGCAGCTTTTGGTAATGAGCAGATATTGTGGTACAGCATCTCTCATGAGTCCTAGCAGAAGAACTGATGCTAAGGGATGCTGGGATTTGGAACTCCAGCAACAGCTGGGTGGCCAAACGTTGGCCCCCAAACCCAGGTTACAGCGTACAAGATCCTGTGTTAATCTGTGTTTCATTTTTATTTGGGTACTTATCCCTATCTCTTCATCACTCAGCTAGTAAGGCATCACCTCTTCCTCCTCCTATGTTATTTCTCAATTCAGTGTACTCTTTTTCCTAATACATAATTAGACGGTAATTGGCATTTATTAAAATTATTGTCAAGTACTTCTACCTATCTTTCCATTAAGAAAAACCCAGTCAAGATAAGAAAAAGTGAAAGTAGCTGCATTGATTCCTAAGACATTGATTCCTAAGAGTAGACGTTGTCTAGAGGGTTGGGGTAAAAATCGAATAAATAAATAAATAAAATAAAGAATAAAACAACAAACAAAATCTATAGACAGGCAAAAATGTTTTTATTATGGGTGTAGCAGCCCTCCAAACACTCCCCCCCCCCAATATTCCCTTTTTAAAGCAGTGCGATCTGCTACCAAAAAATAGCACCATGGCTTCCCAGCTGATATGTGGCTTTTGTGTGTTCAATTCAGCTCATTTTATTTTTTTTATATTGTCAAACACTGCCTGCAGCACTTATTTTAGTTTAAAATTCTTTTTTCCCCTCCCTGAAAGTCTTCATGCAGATTACATACTTTTTGGCTTCCTTGTGGGTTAATTTGTGACTGGAAAGCAAACCAGTTTGAAGTAAAAGAATCCATTTAAACACAAGCAAAGTTTTGTTTGTTTGTTTTGTTACTGGTGGCTCTCCCCTCCCTCTTTTTTCAGTGGGACGTAACTCTTAGGCAATTGGTCCTTAGCCCAGCCAGGATTGTCCAGTCCCCTCCCTTAATTAGGGCAAGCCTTTAAGGTCTCCAGAACTGTTATCCATGGTGGGTGGCACAAAAACAGAGGGGAGGGAGAGAATGATGGAAGTCCAAAGCTCAAGGACTTCCAAGGATCTTCTGGCTTTGGACGGTGCCATTTTAGCCATTGGGTCAGACAGCAAACCTCCATTGAGCCAACTTTGGAGCTTCCAATTCTCCTTTCTCCTACTCTGCTTCATTGTCTTTAATATAATGAGGTATTGTGGTTAACATCTTATTTCCAGGTGTTGCCTAGTTGCAAAACATCCCTGCTGCAGGAAATAAGGCATAGCAATACCTGGGAAGTGAAATGCTATTTTTAATAACTCTTTTAACTGTTAAACTAACAAGGCTTCCAAAGTGGTCTGATTTTGTATACATCCAACCTCCAAGACTACGAAAGGCAATACGAAATATTACATATCATTAAATAATGATCATGCCCCGTCAAGTCAATTTTGACCTATGGCAGTCCTTTTCAGGATTTTCTAGGTAGGGAATACTCAGAAGTGGTTTACCATGCTCTTCTTCTTGGGGTGCTCTTGGACTGTGCAGCTTGCCCAAGGCCGCCCAGGCTGGCTCTTCTCCCAGGAGGCACAAGTGGGGAATTGAGCTCCCAACCTCTGACTCCACAGCCAGATACCTAAACCATTGAGCTATCCAGGCAGCTTAGCATTAAGGACAAGCGAGTTAAAGATATGCAGTGGTGCTGGTGATTAACTTTTTCAAGCTGGGAATTTGTAAGGTAAAGGTTCCCCTTGACATTTAGTCCAGTCGTGTCTGACTCTAGGGCATGGTGCTCATCCCCGTCTCCAAGCCGTAGAGCCAGCGTTTGTCCAAAGACGGTTTCCGTGTTCACGTGGCCAGCGTGACTAGACATGGAATGCTGTGACCTTCCCACCGAGGGGGTCTCTATATATCTACTTGCATTTTTACATGCTTTTGAACTGCTAGGTTGGTAGGAGCTGGGACAAGCGACGGGAGCTCACTCCGTTGTGTGGATTCAATCTTACGACTGCTGGTCTTCTGACCTTGCAGCACAGAGGCTTCTGTGGTTTAACCCACAGCGCCACCATGTCCCCAATTTGTAACTGGTGCCAATTCCTTGTTTGAGGACTGCAATTAATTCAAAGGTTTTCTCCCCTTAGGAAGAAACATCTGATCAACGATGATGCTACGTAGTAGTATCAAGTATCACATGGAGGAGATCTGCTAACTGAACAGCATCAGATGGTTCCCTGTGTTGCTGATGGATGATATTATGCATGCATGATTAAAGATTTGTTGCAAGAAAAACAGCGGATTCTCTTCTGGTCTATGCTAGGCTTTCCTCTTGGATCAGCATGGCAGAACTGGGGTGATGTCAAAGTTTTCAATAACAACAAAGTACATGAGGTGGCATATGAACTGCTGTATAGCTCTGTGGTTTAGGTATCTTGCTGCACAGCCAGAGGTTGGGAGGTCGATTCCCCAATGGGCTCCTTGACAGGGGCTGGATTCAATGACCCGCAGGGTCCCTTCCAGCAATGCAGTTCTAAGATTTATTATTAGTATTAGTAGCACATTTAGTACTTGTCAGGAGCCAATAGGCAGCCTTCTGTGGCTGAAGAGAAGGAAGATAGCTGCCTCTTCTGCAGTCTTTTCTTTGTGCTAATTGGTTGCCATCAAGATACTAGTACCTGAACTGTGGGAGACCTGGGGCAGAGAGAGAAAGAGTGCTTTGCACATGGAGGGTGCACTTTGCTACTGCAAGATGTTGTGATGGCACTGGCGACCAACTTGGAGGGCAGGAAAGGGGCACTGGACAAAAGGTCTCTGGAGGGGTTATAATTCAGTTATGCTCAGCACACAAAGAAGGGCACTCTGTACTCCCATCTCCTCTGCTATCCCTTCCGTTGCCCTGCTATGTGTGAAGGAAGGAACTGGAGTGGCTGCGACAAGGAACTGTCAGAAGAAATAAGCTTTAAAAAGGGGGCATGGGTAAGAAATGGAAGGAAGAAGAGCAAATCACTAAGGAAGGGAGCAGACAAGCAAGTAGAGAGAAGTTTGAAACAGAAGGCCAAAGGTGGAAAAGGGTGGAAAAGACTTTCAAGAGAGGTTAAAAATAACAAATAGGGATTTTTGCCTATACTTAGATCAAGAAGAAAAACAAGGGAACAGTAGGGCTGCCTGTGTGGAGAGGATTGAGAAATACTACTCAGTGGCAAGAGAGAAGGCAGAGCTCCTGAGTTTTGACTTTTCTGCTATCTTCTCCCAAAAGGAAAACAGAGCTCAGCTTAGTGCAGGTAGAATGAAAGAAGAAGGGAAGGGGCTGCTGCCTAAGACAGGTAAAGAGGTGGAACGAGAACAGCTACCAACTTTGAATGAATGCAGGTTTCCTGGGCCAGGTAAACTCCTTCCAAAGGTACCAAAGTAGCTTGCAGATGTGAGCTCAGAGGCTCTGTCCATAAACTTTGAGAATTCTTGGAGAAAAAGTGAGGCCCCTGAAGACTGGAGATGAGCAAATGTCCCCACACCTTCAAAAAGCAGGAAAAAGAAGATCTGAGCAGCTACTGACTGGTCTGCTTGACACTAATACCAGGAAAACGTCTAGCAGATACCATTAAATTTTCGGTCTGTGAGAATTTTGATAATGCAAGAATTTATAAGACCCAGCAGAGTTTTCTCAAAAACAAGCCATGCCAGACTAATCTAATTTATTTTAAAAATAAGAATGGCAAGCGTGTATTGGAGGAAAATGCTATGGATGTCATATACATATTTGATTTGAGCAAGGCTCTTGATTATGTCCATGATAATATAGTTAAAGTCAAGCTGGTAACAGGGAGATATGATGCTTTTGTTAGGTGGATGTTTAGCTGGTGGATGGAATGTACTCAAAGAATGCTCAGCAACGGTTCCTTAACATCCTGGAGAAATGCAGCACAAAGTGGTCTGGAAGGTTCTGTCTTCCATCCCATGTTCTTCAACACCTTTACAAGTGATTAAGAAAAGGACGTGGAGAGGAGGCTTACCAGATTTGTATACGACATCACACTGGGAAGGACAGGTAACACTTTAGAAGATAGAATCACGACTCAAGATAGCCTTAGCAAATTGGACAGCCAGGCCAAAGAAACAAAATGAGTTTCATTGGGGAAAACAGACAATACTACACTGAGGTGGTAAAAATCAGATGTATGAATATAGGGTCAGTAAGAGATGGCTGGGTACCAGTACGAACAAAAAAAGATCTAGGGATTCTAGTATACCATAAACTAAATATGAGCCAACAACCTGACGCAGCAGCAACAAAGCTGCAAGTCATACCAGACTAGATCAACAGAAGTATGGTGCAGATCAAGGGAAATAAAGAACCCCACTTTGTCTGCTTTGATCAGACCTTACTGGAACTTCAGCCGAGCTCTGGGAACCACAGTTTATTAAAGAGATCAAGGAGCTGGAATGCAACTAATGTGGTAAAGGGTCTGGAAATGAAACCCAATGAAGAACATGAAAGCTGGACATGGTTGTTGTAGGTTTTTCGGGCTGTCTGGCCATGTTCTGGAGGTTTTTCTTCCTAACGTTTCACCCGTCTCTGTGGCCGGCATCTTCAGAGGACAGGAATCAGACCAGAGCACAGACACCAGAGCACAGACAGAGTTCTGACTCCTGTCCTCTGGTGATGCCGGCCACAGAGACTGGCAAAATGTTAGGAAGAAAAACCTCAAGAACACTGCCAAGCAGCATGAAAAACCTACAACCATCATCAGATCCCGGCTGTGAAAGCCTTCGAGAATACAAAGCCATGCATGTTTGGCCTGAAAAGGAAAAGACTGGGGGGTTCACTATCTTTAGATTTTTGAAGAGTTACTCTGCAGAAGATGCAGCAAGTTTATTTTCTGCTACTCCAGAGGGTAAGACTCAAAGCATTTTAATTGTATTGTCGTTGTTTTTATTGTTGTAACTACTCCAGAGGGTAGGACTCAAAGCAATAAATTCAGATGATAAGGAAGGAGATTTCATTACAATGAACTTTATGACAGTAAAAGCTGTTCAACAAGGTGACGGCTTGTAATGTGATGGCGGTCTGTCAAGAGAAGTTACATGGCCATCTCTCAGGCATAATTTAGCTACAGCTTTCTTTCATCATCAGGGCCTCTTTATAGATCTTCCAGCTCCATAAATCCATTATACTACCATTCCTTCCAATTAATTGTGTTTGTGAATTAATAGTAAAAAGTAAAACATCACAAAACTTTTTTGTGTCTCAGACTTTTGGTGAGGCTGCTGCTGCTTGCCAGTTTTGGTGGGTTTTAGTAGGTTCTAGGCCACAGGTAAGCCTGTCCTTCCTTTAATAAGTCTATCCTTCTAGGTCAGATCCAGGGGTAGTCAGTCCTATAAACTAAATAAATACTAGGTAAAGGTAAAGGTTCCCCTTGACAATTTTTGTCCAGTCGTGTTCGACTCTAGGGGGCAGTGCTCATCCCCGTTTCCAAGCCATAGAGCCAGCGTTTTGTCTGAAGACAATCTTCCGTGGTCACATGGCCAGTGCCACTTAAGACACAGAACGCTGTTACCTTCCCACCGAGGTGGTCCCTATTTATCTACTCGCATTTACACGCTTTCGAACCGCTAGGTTGGCGGGAGCTGGGACAAGTGACGGGCGCTCACTCCGTTGCGTGGATTCGATCTTACGACTGCTTGGTCTTCTGACCCCTTCAGCACAGGCTTCTGTGGTTTAGCCCACAGCGCCACCACGTCCCTCTAAAAATAATAAATACTAGAGGTTGGCTCTTATCACAGGTTCAGGCTGCCCTGATACATATGTGTTTTCAAACACTTGAAAGATAGTATATACAGAGGAGGGGCAGGATCTGTTCTTTATCATTCCAGAGTGTAGGGCATGTAATTACTATGGGCTCAAGTTACAGGAAGCCAGATTTTGGCTGAATGTCAGGAAAAACATCTTAACTGTTAGAGCTGTACAACAATGAAACCAATTATGTTGAGAGGAGATGAGTGCTTCAACACTGGAGGCATTCAAGAGAAAATTGGACAAACATAGGTTGTTTGATTTGTATTCCTGCACCGAGCAGGGTGTGGACTTGATGACATTATAGGCCCCTTCCTACTCAATTTTTCTATAATTCGTTGATTCTATGTACTGTGTGCCATCAAGTCAATTCCAATTTATTGTGACCCTTTCCAGGGTTTTCAAAGTAGAGAATACACAAGTGGTTTGCCATTCCTTTCTTCTGGGGGTGCCCTGGGATTGTGCAGCTTGTCTGTGACTACACCATTTGGCTCTTATCACAGGAAGGACAGTGTGGAATCAAACTCCCAACCTCTGGCTGCACAGTCAAACAAGAACACCACTAAGCTATCCAGCTAGGTAGCTGTCCAGCCCTGAACTGGCTGCTAATCCTTTTCACTAGATTACTTTGCTGTTTCAGAGGAAGAAGGAGAAAACAATTTTCCAATGCCATGAATAATGTTATCCACAAGGCCATACTAGCTTTGGGACTCTGAGAATTGTGGTTCAAATATAAATGTTCTGTGTGAGAAAATGAGACATCATAGTTGATCCTGAGTAAGGTCTTTGATAGAATCATAGAAAAGTGAAATTGGAAGGGGTCTACAGAGCCATCAAGTCTAGCCCCCTGCTCAATGCAGGAAAACAATCAAAGCATATCTGCCAGGTGATTATCTAAGTTTTTCTTGAATGCCTCCAATTTTTGAGCACTCACCAACTCCTCAGGTAACTGGTTCCACTGTCATACTGCTCTAACAGTTAGGAAGTTTTCCCTGATATTCAACCAGCCTGGCTTCCTTTAACTTGAGCCCATTGTTGCGTGTCCTGCACTCTGGGATGATTGAGAACAGATCCTGCCCATCCTTTGTAAGACAGCCTTTCAAATATTTGAAAAGTGCTGTCATATCACCTCTCAGTCTTCTTTTCTCAAGGCTAAACATGCCCAGTTCTTTCAGCCTTTCCTCATAAGGCTTGGTTTCCAGCCCCCTGATCATCCTTGTCACCCTCCTCTGAACTTGTTCCAATTTGTTAGCATCCTTCTTGAAGTGTGGTGTCCAGAACTGGATACAGTACTTGAGATGAGGCCCAACCAGTGCTGAATTGAGGGAGACTAGCACCTTGCAGGATTTGGAAATTCTATTAATGCAACCTAAAAGAGCATTTGCCTTTTTTGTAGCCACACTGTTGGCTCATGTTTAGCTTGTGATCTACAACAATTCCAAGATCCTTCTTGCTTGTCTTTTTACTGAGCCAGGTATCCCCCATCTTGTAATTGTGCATTTGGTTTCTTTTTCCGAGGTGCAGTACTTTGCACTTATCCCTGTTGAATTTCATTCTGTTCCTTTCAGCCCAGTGCTCCATCCTATCAAGGTCATTTTGAATTTTGTTTCTGTCTTCTAGGGTATTAGCTATTCTGCCCAATTTTGTATCATCTGCACATTTGAGAAGCATTTCTTGCACTCCCTCATCCAAGTCATTAATAAAAATATTGAAGAGCACCGGGCCCAGGACTGAGCCTTGGGGTACCCCACTTGTGATCTCCTCCCAATTAGAAAAAGGCCCATTAATAATCACTCTCTAAGCATGATTCTGTAGCCAATTGTGTATCCACCTGTCATGTGATCAATCCAGCCCACACCTAGTTAGCTTGCTAATCAGGATATCATGGGGCACTTTTTCAAAAGCGTTATTGAAGTCAAGATATACTACATCTACAGCATTCCCTCTGTTTATCAGGGAGGTTACCTGATGAAAATTAGTTTGGCCGGATTTGTTCTTGACAAATCCATGTTGGCTTCTAGTTATTACTGCATTGTTTTCTAAGTGCTTGCACAATGACTGCTTTACGATCTGTTCCAGAATTTTGCCTGGGATTGATGTCAGGCTGAATGGCCTGTAGCTCCTAGGTTCCTCTTTTTTGCCCTTTTTGAAGATCGGGAGAACATTAGCCCTCCTCCAATTCTCTGGCACCTCACCCTTTCCCCATGATTTCAAGCAAATAATGGATAGTGGTTCCCCTCAGGTGCATCCATCATTCTGATGCTGAAAACATCAGATAGATATGAGATGATCTGATAGATAAGAATGTGTGTGATTTTTTTGTACAAGGCACAAAACTTAGGAATATTACTTCTTTGGACTACAGTTAGAATCACCCAGCCAGTTTGGCCTTAACAATGTGGGAGTTCAAATCCAAAAACAGCAACGGATCTGAGCTCTTATAAGGTACACATCCAACAGCCCTTGCTCAGAATCTTTGGATGTAAATACATATTGGTGTCTTTGGAAACCATTGTATGAACAGTTCCATGACCTGAAATACTACTGTTGGTTCTTCTGGACTGCTCCAAACAAGCATTTGGCCACCACGCTTTGAGCAGGAGACCTTCATGAAAGCTTCCCCGGCCAATTTGGGCTATGGAGACTCTTTCAGTCTTCCTTGATGTTCCTTTAGACACAGACACAGGTGTTCCTTTAGATGTCTACAGAGCAGATCCTTCACCTCAGAAGGTGTGTCTTGGCCATGCAGGTAAATCTGCTAGTCAAGTCTGGCTGGCTTCAGACCACAGTAGCTTCATGCAAGCTGTTTTACATCCCTTGGTAGGGTTACTAGTAGGGAAAAATGTGTGATATGTCTCCAACATTGATTTATCCCCAACGCAAGTTGTCATGTTCATCCTGAAGTATCGAGTGGTGGATGAGCTAACATATAATGAAACCAGGAACCTTGCTATTTTTTTTTCTGAGGGCCAAACTGTACATTACCAAAAATTAAAAATAAAATAAAAATAAATCAGCACCAGAGCTGGAACTACATTACTGTTCCAGAGACAAGATTCAGGCAGGCTTTCATGTCTGAGGAATGAGTGATGATCTTGAAAGGCAATCACAAAACAATGGAAGCTAATTTGCAAGTTATGGGACAGGAGAAAACCTTGTTTTGTGGCCATTGTACACAATCGCAACAAAGCCTTGAGATTAATGGCAGGGTGAACTCATGAGGGGGTTGGTGACTGTCCTAAAAATACCTTGAATTATCTAACCAAGCCATTCAAGAGTTAATTTGAATGATTTTTTTAAAAAAATAATGTTCCAAGCTCTGCAAGAGATCCAAATGTTTTCAGCATCAGAATGATAGATGCACCTGAGGGGAAGGAAATGAGACCATGAAAAAAACAAGTTCTAGGTAAAGCATAAGCAGAACATGGGCTGGGGTTTCTGAAAAGAAGATGCTGAGGAAGGGTAATAGTTTGATAATGCTGTACAACATGATACCCAGGATGGTGTAGTGGACAGAGAAGGGCTCAGGAGAACTGGCTTTGAATCCCAGTTTAATCATGTAAACTCTTGCTGGGGGGGTGTCTGATAAAACTACTCCTCAACTATTTCACTTCTCTTGAAAACCTGTTAGGGTCACACAATAAATCAGTCCTGACTTAACGATGTTGTAAAGAGCAATAAAATCCACAAATTCTGAACTCCAAATTTCCAGAGAGAAATTCAAGAAGTGTTTTTAGAGTTTGAACAGTTAATTTTAGTATGCATTAAGGATGTGATGTTTTCACAGATGTTTCCCAAGCAAACTCCATGTTTCTTCGTAGGTTGTTTGACTGACCATGTAGATGAAGTCTGGATTCCTCCGGTTGTGCAACGCATTCTTCTTCAAATACCCCAAGACCCAACCCTGGACCATGAATACCTCCCAGAGCTTGGCATATCGGGATTCACCAGAGCAGCCGTGAAACTCATTATCGGCAAGGACAGTCGTGCTCTCTTACAGAACAGGGTGTGGCTTCTATAAGCAATATCGGCTAAGTCGGTAGACGTCAGGGCAGAAAGGCGGTTGGCGTGTTGGAAAGGAACCAGATACTAGACCCAACAAATCTAGGCCAGGCACTTTCTCTTAACCTAGGCTACTTCACAGGGTTTTTCTGAGAGGATAAAGTAGGAAGGAAGAGAGTAATCTATGAGATGAAGTCAGATATAAATGTAACGTAAGCCTTTTTAAAAATGGACATAAACACGGACTAATTATTCTCCTCTACATACAGGAGACAAATGGGGTAATTCTATACATGTCTATGTGCATATAATCTCCACTATTCAATGGGTTTTGTTCCCAGGAAATTGTGCATAAAATGTTAGCCAAAGGGTGCGTTCCTATACCCACTTTCCTCATATCAAGGGACATGAAACCTATTGCTTTTTCTTAGCTTTGTTAATCCCATGACGTGCTAGATTTCATCTTGACTTGGATATGAATCTCTTTAAATTATGTTTATGGGAACAGGGACAAAGTGCAGGCCATATGCATACCCCCAAGGGCCAAATGTGGTTCCCCAGCCTTCCTGGTACCCCAGAAAATAGGGCCTAAAAGGGTCTTTTCTTAAGTTGGTGATGACCACCTCTGCTCTCCATATCCAGGTAAGGGCAGACATGGCCCCTGGGCTGTCAGAAGTTACCCACCCCATCCTCTTGTTTTGATTTCTCAGACTAGAGCCCTCTGAAACAAGTGGGATTTGGCCCAGATTTGAAAGGTCGGTGAGGGGAGGAAGGGTAAAGTTTGGGTCCATAATTATACAGGATGGTGAAGGGACGGGTTCCATAAGTATGACTCTTATGGCACACTGAGCAAATCCTTAACTGGGCCATTGGAGGGTGATCCTCTGGAACTCAGAGCATCCTCCTTCCACTGCTCAGTTAGGTCAATAGCATCAATATGCCATTATACACATTTGTGTTAAAAGTAGTTTTACCAGCTCTGCACAATTCCAATAGTAAGCCACGTTTCGAGTGTTGCTGACAAAATACCAGAGGTGGGGGAACAATTTTCCACCCCACAGGCTGGCATCAGAATTATCTTTCTTCTTTCTAAAAGGTGCTCCTGGTTTTTTGGACATTGCTTCTGGATTTTGTTTGTTTACTTATCGTAGAGGAGTCCCTGCACACCATTTTGTGGGAAATTGCTGTTTCCAGAGGCTTCCAAGAGCAGAAAATGATTTCTTATCTCTTTCCAAATATTTTTCAGTGGTCTTGGGGGTTAATAGAGGTGTCAAAGGTCTCAAGGGTGCTGAATTCTGCCCACCTCTGCTCTGCATGCTTGTTAACCTACGGGAAAACATTGTTCTACATTATGGACAATTTGAAGCGGCAGTCTTAGATTCCTGAGAGAAAGCTAGCTCTGTCCTCTCTCTTTTCTTCTGTAAATAGGCAGGTGGCATTCACACGGTTGGCGGACCAGGCGCCCTGTGGCTTGCAGCTGAATTTCTGCACCGCTGGTACAAGCCCACTGAATCGGCACCTGCTACCATCTATATTGCCGCCCCACAATTAGGTATAATATTTTTTTCCATCGCTGGTTTTTTGCCCAGTCCTACATTGGAAACTGCAAACCATGGACAATGTTTCTGGAGGGGTTCAACTAAAAATCACTCTCTGCATTGAAAGAACTCATGGGAGGTCCACAAGAGGGGAGCAAGGCTGTGCTGCAGAAGGGGCTCCACCTCCTGACGGATGGAGATGGGTGGAGCTTCCCTATGTGACCCCCAAGTGTGTAGCTGCACTGCACACTTATAACAGTTGGATTGCCACGTTCACTTGCCATGGCTCCATCTTATGGAATCCATAGACTGGTGACTCACTTTTAATTCTTTGCCGTATATGCTGTGTATATACTTACAATGACTATTATTTGTAGGCTGGTGACTCACTTTTAATTCTCTGCCATAATTCAGGGAAGCGCACAGAGTGTTTTACATGTGTTTTACACCCTGGCAAGGTGAATCTACCTAGAGCAAAGTGTCTAGTCCTCTCCTTTCTGCCATGAGATGTTTCACATTTTCAATAATCTGAAGAGAGGAGAAAGGCTGTGCTTGCATTTTGACTCTACACCCGAGCAAGATGTCAAAATGTCCAGGATTCTTGCCTGTGCATGGAGCCTTCACACAAGCAAGTCCTTCTTTTCTTCAGACTCAATACAGAAACTGATAGAACTCAGTGATGGACAAAAGGGAAGCTATGCACTCCCTTCTGGATATAATCACCTCCTATGAACTAACGATGAACTCCATTGTTAGAAACTGAAACGGGGGGGAGGTGTTTGTAACATATATGACTAGTCCTGAAGCCATAACAAGGAACCCCAGAGTTACTGAGTTGGCAGCATTCCATTCCTTAAGGTTTTTGACCCAAAGCCTGAGGTCCCTGGTATGGACCCCTATGCTTTCATCTTAAGGCCAAAAGCTGAAAGCTGGGAACCTAATAGATATACTGTAATTGGGCAAAGGGAGTGACCTTGGGTAATGAAAAGCTCTAACTCATATATCAGTGCATGTCCTGAGCCATTGCTCAGGAACTCAAAATGTGCAGCTGGTGAGGGTATAGCCACAGAGCATGCAGAAGGGAAGCCAGCCTTCCTCACACAAGATTTCAACAGGTATAGTCGTCTGCTTACTCTTGTAAGCAGTAAAATCTACTTTTAAAGTAATGCCAGGAGTAAGGATCTTACAGTATTTTGAGATCCAGATGACACCCATCAACATCTGGCCCAAGCTCGAGATGCTGTTTCTGGTTGAATGAAATGTACCTCCTAAACCAAGCTTTCTTTTTCCTGTCCAGCATACTTGGTGAATCTGTTCCATGCCACTGATCCATATAGTCCAGAATTGTCTGCTGTAGACCCTTCGGATAATGCCGGGCTCTCTAGGGCCCATATCCCATGGTCCATGGTTTGAGATCATGAAGAGTTGGGGTTTAACAACATCTAGAGGGCCACCGACCCTCTCCTCACTCCAAGGACTTGGGTAAAATTCTTGTCCAGCGCAGCTATCTGATGCCCTTAGTCTGGAAAGTGTATCAAGGATGAGAGATGCCAGAATATTGCCTGAAATTTCAAGACCAAAACCTATTGCAAGAGATAGACCCATGAACCTTCATAGCAGTGGGAGGGAGGGAGGGTTGTGGGGAAGGGCAGGACTGCTTCTGGAACAGGTGATTCAGTAAATAGGGAAGGCACTCGGAATCCTCCCTTACTCCAAATGGCAAACTGCATGCACTTAGTGGTTCTCACACCTGTCTTTTCTCTTTGCTCTGGTTTTTTTTTAAACATTGCACAAGTGCAACATACTTACTATAACTTCAGGTAAGCCTAGGAACCTTCCTGCTAGCCAGGAATGGGTAGAGATGCATGTCCAGCCCTCACCTCCAGCTCAGATAAAAACACAAAACTTTTCCCTGGTCTAGCACTGTTTGCTCTGAGAACTGTCTCCGTGCCTGGAGACCCAGGACAGTCATATCCTGAAAGGATATCACTATCTCAGCAGGCTGAGACAGCACAGGGCAGCCATAACTAAGACACTTCTGCTTCCAAACAAATGCGACACAAATACCAGGATGATCTACTGAATTGCAAGCCATCCTCATCTTTTACACCCAAGTATGTCCTTCAGTGGTAATGTCCAATGCTGTACTAGATCTTCCTCAATTTTCAGATGATATCGGTTGTATATTCGAAGTGGCTGGCTTTACAGATATTCGTTCTTACCATTACTGGGACCAAATCAAACTGGTGGTGGACACCGAAAGATTCCTGGAGGAAATGCAGGTACGGTAACGAAGGGAAGAGCTTCCAGGCTTGTTCAGACTGACAATCCAATAATCCAACCTGACTCAATGGCTTCAGTGTTCAGTTTAGAAACATGCGAAGCTACCCTATCCGGCTTCAGAGCATTGGTTCATCTAGCCCAGTGGTTCTTAACCTTGGGTAATCCAGGTGTTCATGGACTGCAATTCTCAGAAGCCTTCACCACCAGCTATGCTAGTTGGGGCTTCTGGGACATGCAGTCCAAGAACACCTGGGTTACCCAAGATTAAGAACCACTGATCTAGCCCAGCACTGTCAACACTAACCAACAGTAGTCCTCAGGGATTTAGGCAGGATCCTTTCCTTACTCTGCTTAGAGATGCTGAGGGCTGGAGCTGAGCCCTTCTGCACACAAAGCATACTCTCTGCCACTGAGCTACAGCTCTTCCCCGATGCAGCTTCCAGTATTCTTTGTTGCTCTCCCACCCCAGTACTCTACTACCCAGATCCAATCCTCCTCAGGTTCCAAAGTCAGAAGGCTGTGTTCAGGGTGGTATATGTATGGTGTTCCTTGGCTTGGAGATGATGCAGGAATCTCAAATACAACTCTACCAAGCTATGTGATAACAGCCTGTGTCCGTGCTAAGAATTTATTTCAATTTTCCTTGCACCCATGGTATTGGTGCTGCATCCCAGTATCACCATGGGAGAAAGCTAAAACTAGTGTCAACAGAACAGGAAACAGCAGCAGCAGCAGCAGCTTGTTTTCTGGGGTGGAGGGTAAATATTACCAATGGGTATTGGTCTATGTTTTCTGGGGTGGGGGTAAATATTACCAATGGGTATTGGTCTATTTTTCTTCTGCTTTGATTTCATTCACTCCACTAATATGGACCCTTGTACTGCTGATCGGTATACTTTGTGGGTAGATGTCATTTAATAATGCTTCTATACGGGCATTGTTTCTTCTGGCCAGTCCCCACACATTCCCATACCCAAAGATGGGTAAAACAAGCAGGGAAGGGAGGAGAAATTTAAATAGCTGAGGAGGCAGTGGGAAGATAGGAAAAAAGAAAGGGCAACCAGAGATCAATTCTGGCATAAATAAGTGATACTGGGACAACCCAGTGTATCCCGATATATCTAACAACAAATACCCTTCCTGTGTATTGGGGATAAACATGGATGGGCAACTTTCCAGGACTGGAAGACCACTGGCATGTTCGTCTTGCTGCTGTGGTTATTTCCCCTAAATTCAACAGCAGCAGTTTCACAGGTAGCTGGACTTGCTGGGTTGGGGAGGAGAAAATCAAGCAGGGATATGTGGCCCCTCCCAAATTGAATAAATACAGAATCCTACCTCCTACAGAGTTCACTCCACATCACACAATGCATCTGCCTTTTCCCACTGGTAATGGTTGCCCAGAATCTCAGGTCTCACCTCACTAAGAAGACTGAAAGGACTGGATCAGGCTTGATGGTAACCAAAGCATGTGCTCTGCAACTGAGCTATAATTTGTTCTCCCACTCATATGCAATTGAATCGTTTGTTCTCATCCTTCGTCTAGCTCCTGACCTTGCAGATATTTTCACTTTCATTTCTCAGAAGCCCCAGCCAACGTGGCTAATGCTAGGAATTTTTGAGTCTATAGTCCAAAATATTCAGAGGTCCAAAGGTTGCCCACCACTGTTGCAAATGGAGTTGAATAGGCTAGATGGTTTGCTTCTTAGTAGTGATAGCAAGCAGCCATTTATTGACCCTTAGCTTGTTATGGGCATGGCTCTTTTTCTTTCTGGATTTTCAACCCATGTTAGCCACTCTCTATGTCCTTACTCTATAGCTGGTGGTGAATGATGGATTGATTTGCTTGCAGAATGCTCCAGAAGGCGCTATTGTATTCCTCCATGCCCCTGAAGAAATGGGCCTGGGACCTCAAGATTGGGAAAAAGTTGCAGCTGTGATGAAGGTAAGTCTACTCAATAGCTGGGGAGCTCAGTTACCCAATAGGTCACTTCATTTCATAGGATGTGCAAGAGGGGAGTTGTCTCATCATATATAATATTTAGAGGTGGTTTACCACTGCCTTTTCTGTGTGTTCAGTACTAATAGTTACCCTGAATATCATTCTTGTTGTCTATGAAAGATCCTCCGCCAGTATTGCTGTTGCCTGGTAGCTACTCTCCAGGAGTTTCTCCACCCCATCATCAATGCAACACTCAGTTCTTTTCTGGTGACATGGCCATTACTCTTGAAGAGGTTGGGTATTGCACCCATCTTAGGGTGCAATGACACAAAAGAGAAATGTAAATTCACCAGCTGTGAAGTTGCACTGGGAATTTGGATTTCCGCAGGTGTCTTTGTATTAACTGGCCACACAGGGAGCGAGGAGGAAATGGCTCTTCTGGAGCCCAGTAAGAGGCATGGCTACAGGAGAACTACCTTAATAAGCTGTAAATGAGGGCCAAGTGGCAATTTGCTCCTCTTGTTTCCTCATTCTCTAATTCTTTTCCCATTCTTTTCCCATTCCTTTCTTCTTTTTTATATCTAAGCACCCTAGTGCAACAGCACTAGCACAAAACTGTTGTTTAAAAAATGGCATTATTTGCAAACAACCAGTCTTTTTTATATCTAGGTGCCCTAGTGCAACAACACTAGCACCAAACAGTTTTTTTAAAAAAAATGGCATTATTTGCAAACAACCAGTCCTCCTGGACTGCACTTTTGCCCTTCCCAAAAAAACCTGCTGCACCATTGCATCAGCTACAGTACTTTTCTGCATCAGTTCAAATGATCACACTGCCTGAACTGATGCAAATGGATCCACTGTGGGAAAAGAGTAGAAGCCCCAGTGGCAGAAAGAAAAACTATGGATTTGATGGAAGAAAACTCCAGGCTAATTCACATTTGTTTTTACTTCATGTAGTCAATAGGAAAAAAAATGTTAATGTGGTTATCCTGGTCTCATAGATTTTCCCACGCTTTTTGTCAATGTAGTTGCAGCATTAGTCTGATGTCTTAGCTTCGATCATTCTGCCTTGGGCAATTCCACTGGGAATCTAATCTCCTCTAGGTGCTGCTTTGAGCTTCCCCGACACATTCAAAACCCCTTGCCACATTAAGATGTGCATCCAAGCAACGACAATCGTGCTTTGCCTATATCACAAGAAAACTAGACTCACCGATAAAGACAAGAAAGCTAGAGAAAGATGATGGCAGGAGAAGTGCAGGGAAACCTAATACCAGATGAACTGACTCAGTAAAGGAACCCAAGCACTCCTAGGATTGCCATAAGTCAGCAACAATGTAATGACATATAACAACAACAAACATACAAACAGGGGAAGAGGGAATGCATTCACACACTCGGAAATCATCTAAATTTTGGTTGTTGTGGGTTTTTCGGGCTCTTAGGCCATGTTCTGAAGGTTGTTCTTCCTAACGTTTCACCAGTCTCTGTGGCTGGCATCTTCAGAGGACAGCACTGCTCAGAACACGGCCAAAGAGCCCGAAAAACCCACTGTGAATTGGGCTATCCTGGTTTCATAGATTTTCCCACACTTTTTGTCAATATAGCTGCATCATTAGTCTGATGCCTTAGCTTTGATCATTCTGCCTTGGGCAATTCCACTGGGAATCTAATCTCCTCTAGGTGCTGCTTTGAGCTTCCCCGACACATTCAAAACCCCTTGCCACATTAAGATGTGCATCCAAGCAACGACAATCGTGCTTTGCCTATATCACAAGAAAACTAGACTCACCGATAAAGACAAGAAAGCTAGAGAAAGATGATGGCAGGAGAAGTGCAGGGAAACCTAATACCAGATGAACTGACTCAGTAAAGGAACCCAAGCACTCCTAGGATTGCCATAAGTCAGCAACGATGTAATGACATACAACAATAACAAACATACAAACGGGAAGAGGGAATGCATTCACACACTTGGAAATCATCTAAATTTTCACTGAAATTCTCTTGTTGGAATTGAGTTTGGAATGGACTCTTTTTCCAGTTCTGATGATCAGTAAGATTTGCCATCTCTTCTCATTTGTTACTCAACTTACTCATTTAAGCCATTCATTCTGGGACAAGATTGATACACTCTCTTACAAAAAGATAGAAAAAGAAATGATGAACCACACAGCCAGACAAAAACAGAAATTCAACAAATGTCAAACAAGCCAACAGAAACCTACGCTAGACACCACACGCATCTCTTCTCATTTGTCACTCAACTTACTCATTTAAGCCATTCATTCAGGACATGTTCCATGGGTCCACCTGCCAGTCTCCTCAGTCACTTGCATGCATGTGTCACTGTGGCCACTAAACTAGTATTTACATAGATCGCTGCTTTTAGGCAAAACTACAGTGACTGACTGAGGGCAGAAGTATTTGTCACGTTTGAGCAATTCATGTGTGAATGAAGCCTGGCATTTAACTGTAGATGTTCAACCATCAAATCAAAGCAAGCTAATTGAGAGCTTTCAAAGCTGAGAAACAATATTGGAAACTAATTAGACATCATTTACTTCTTAAGATAGCTTTGTTTCTAACTATGAAGCGGCCAGCTTGTCTGGTTTTTGCCTTATTCGCAATAACAAGTCATCTTTGTTCATCATGACACCTCTTTTTCTTCACTCCCTTCCATGTCCAGAAGAGACGTCTCTTCCCCCTTTTTGAGATTGCAACTCAAGGGTTGGTTTCAGGAAATCTCGACAAAGATGCCTGGGCAGTGCGATACTTTGTGGACAATGACTTTGAGCTACTATGTGCCCAGTCCTTTTCCAAAATATTTGGCTTATACGGTAATGTTTTCTAGTCTCTGTTTTCTATTCTCAGATGGGGAATGTTCATCGTACAAACAGGCAAATGCCACAGGTTCAAAACAACTGGGGTGTTGCCTTTCTCAGTTGGGACTTAGACAGGATAAATGTTACTGGGATCCATGGGGAAGGTTCATCCTACAAACAGGCAAATGGCACAGGTTCAAAACAACTGGGGTGTTGCCTTCAAGTACAAGGATAGGGAACTTTGGGTCCATTAGCTATTCAAGGCCTACAACTCCCACCTGCCCCATCCAGCACGGCCAATGGTCCCTTGACTATTGTGGACAATGACTTTGAGCTACTATGTGCCCAGTCCTTTTCCAAAATATTTGGCTTATACGGTAATGTTTTCTAGTCTCTGTTTTCTATTCTCAGATGGGGAATGTTCATCGTACAAACAGGCAAATGCCACAGGTTCAAAACAACTGGGGTGTTGCCTTCAAGCACAAGGATAGGGAACTTTGGGTCCTCTAGGTATTCAAGGCCTACAAGTCCCACCTGCCCCATCCAGCATGGCCAATGGTCCCTTGACTATGGGAATTGTAGTCCACAACATGCAGAGGACCATAGGTTTTCCACGAGTGCCGGATGAATCACCAACCTGTGTGCAAGGCACACACAGCACTAGCTGCAGATTCATCATCCATATGTGAGTAGGTCAATATACACATAAGTCTCCTTCCTACTGCCACTGAATGTGTTGCTGGGAAGATGGCATAACCAGCGTGAATTCTGGACAGCAGCTGGGAAAGGCCTTCAAGCCCAAGGATAAGGAATTTGGGGGCTGGTGCCTCATCATATGTGCTTCCATATGCCCTCAGTCATCTCCAATGTGATCTTGATAGGCCATTTGTAGCCACAGACTGGGTCAGGGACAAGTTTGAAGACTTGGGGAGCATTTGTCCAGCCCCAGCAACCTATGGAAGCTACATCAGCCCTTCCAAGGAAAAGTGAAGTAACTCAGAAAATGGCTTCCGATTTGAAAAAAGCAAAACAAAGCTGGGTTTGGGTGGAGAGAGCAAAACAAAGTGGTGGTATAACTTCTTTAGCTAAGAGTGCTAGAGCGGTCTATTGCCTCCTGTTTTAGGTAGTTTTAGCATTCAAAAATTGAGGAGGACTCTGGGGGACATGTTTGAGGCTACTGTGACCCATAGGCCTTGTGGCGCAGTGGTTAAAACACTGTACTGCAGCTAAAACTGTGCTCACGACCTGGGGTTCAATTCCCAGGTAGCCGGCTCAAGGTTGACTCAGCCTTCCATCCTTCCGAGGTCGGTAAAATGAGTACCCAGCTGCTGTCAGGAAAGGAATGCTGGAAAGCAGGTCAGCAGCACAGCCCACAGGGCTGGGAGGACTGTCCGTGCAGGTAGAATGAGGCCTAGGCAGTGGTCTACTGAATCAGCAGGGAGGTGTCCAGACAAGGACTCCAGCAGGTTGAACAGTAGCCAAGGGTCCCGGAGCAAAAAGCCAGGCAGCAGTGGGACTCTTTGAGAGAGAGCGACAGGCTTCCCAGAAAGCTCAGTTCTGCCTTTGGTTTCATTTGCTACTGACCCATGACTCTAAGGGCACATGGCCCTCAAGAGAAAACAGGAGCCTATCCCCTGAACTGTGTGTGCCGTGTGGTGTAGTGGACGGAGTGATGGACTAGGACTCCAGAGACCTGGGTTCAAATCACTGCTCAGCCATGGAAACCTACTAGGGGTGTGGCTGTGCTAAAACCACTCCTTTATCTTTCATACTTGGAAAACCTAACTGAGATCACTGCACGTCAGATGCAACTTGAGGGTACGTAACAATAACATCCCCTGAGGTAAACTTTCGGTCAAGGTAGGCAAGCTCAAGGTACTGGAGTCTGGGCCATTTCCTGCCTCCAAAAACCTGCCAGTGGCTGTACTGAGCGTCCTAAGACACTAAAAGAGTAGATCTTTGGTCTAGATGGGTGGGATAGAAATGAAATCAAATAAATAAATAAATAAATAAATAAATAAATAAATAAATAAATAAATAAATAAATGGATGGATGGACGGACGGACGGATGAATGAATGAATAAATAAATGAATAAATAAATGAATAAATGGATGGATGGATGGACGGATGGATGAATGAATGAATGAATAAATAAATAAATGAATAAATAAATAAATAAATAAGTGGATGGATGGATGGATGAATGAATGAATGAATGAATGAATGAATGAATGAATGAATGAATAGATGGATGGATGGATGGATGGATGGATGGATGGATGGATGGATGGATGGATGGATGGATGGATGGATAGATAGATAGATAGATAGATAGATAGATAGATAGATAGATAGATAGATAGATAGATAGATAGATAGATAGATAGATAGATAGATAGATGGAAAGGACATAACAGAACTAGACGTACTGGGAGTCCATTTTGAATTTTGGTTAAAATGTATGCTTTTTTAATGTGAAAAAGGTGGAAGGGAATGCAATTTATTTAACAAGTGACTTGCCATTCTTATAAGCTTGTGGAGTGGCCTTTTTTCCCCCACTGACTTTTGTGGGCAGGGTCACAGCCAGTGGGGACAGGAGTGGCCCATCAGCTGTACGTGGCCTGCGAACCATATGATTCCTGTCCCTACTTTGCTGAATCTCTTTCTTCATTAACCAGCAGCGTCAACTGACTGTGACCCCGGTTGAATGCTTGCAGTGGTCGCAGGGAAGGATTGGAAGAATGGTATGGAAATGTAAGTTGGCTTTGTCGCCATCTTATTGATGCAGACATAGATAGCTTAGCTGTGGCACACACAGCACATCATGTGCCTTGTGTTTCTCCCTGCAGACGAGCGAGTGGGAAACCTCACCGTGGTGACAAAAGACAACGAGACGCTGATAAGGATCCAATCCCAGATAGCCAAGCTGATTGCCATGTCATGGTTTTGCCCCACCAGCTTGGGGGGACGGGTCATTGCCATGGTGCTCACCTGCCCTGCCCTGCGGCATGAATGGTAAGGAGCAAAAGAGGGAGCTCCACAGAGCGAGCTTGAATTTGATAAAAGAGCGGCTCTTCTATGTCTCACAGGGAGATGAATGGCTCAATATATCTGTAATGCCAAAGCATCCCAAAGTACTTTGCTCTGAGTGAGATGAATTATGAGAAAAGACAAAAGCAATCCAGGCCATGGTATCTCAGAGAAATGTCCCGTAGTCACTGAGGGTGTGATTTAAGTAAAGCATGAACAGGGGAAGCACCAAATAATCTAGCATACAGATATGGAAATTAAAACAAATGATCAGGGTTTCCCTCTGGTTCCTTGATTTATTTTCTCATTCAGAGCTGAAAACAAATAGAAATGAATTAATGATGTGCCTACGTCTATGTTGGCTTGGGCATGTAATGAGAATGGCTCATAGTCAGATTCCTAAAGATCTCCTCTACAGAGAATTAGTGCAGGGAAATCGCCCCAGAGGGAGATCACAGCTGTGATGCAAGGTTATTTGCAAGTGGGATGTATACATTACTGAAACAGCGACATCTACGTTGGCCAGGCCATGTCATGACAATGGTTAATGGTCGGATTCCAAAAGATCTCCTGTATGGAGAATTAATGCAGGGAAATCGCCCCAGAGGGAGACCACAACTGCGATACAAGGATATCTGCAAGCAAGATCTGAAGGCCTTAGGAATGGACCTCAACAGATGGGAAACTCTGACATCTGAGCGTTCAGCCTGGCCTCTCCCAATTTGAAGAGACCCTTGTCCAGCAGGCCAAGGCAAAGAGGCTGTCCCGGAAGCAGCAAAATCAGGGAGCTGGAGAGGGGACAGATTGGATTTGTCTTCAGTGTGGAAGGGATGGTCCGTCTCGAATTGGCCTTCTCAGCCACACTAGACGCTGTTCCAAGTCCTCTATTCAGAGCACGTTACCATAATCTCTCGAGACTGAAGGATGCCTACTAAATGACATGCCCTCTATTTCCTAATTCTCTCTTCCTCAGGATACAGAGTCTCCAGGCACTAGTAAAGAGGATCATGCTGATTAGAGAGAAATTGAAAGAGAAGCTGCGCATTCTGGGAACACCAGGCTCTTGGGAGCATCTTACAGCTCAATCAGGAGTATTTAGCTTCATTGGGCTCCTTCGTTAGTATCCAGTATGGCTACTTTGTTAGTAAGCTTGGGATAGGTTTGCCTGTGAGGTCTGTCCTGGGCACTAAGGTCAATTTCTGCCACCTATATGGGTCCTTAATATCATCCCCTTTTTTTACTGTGAAGACTTGTCAGTTGGGTGCATGACAAAGCAATCATGGGATTGCTTTCTCACTGATTCAACAACCTAAATCCTGTGGAGTAAATTGAATTTGTGTAAGTGTTGTTGTGGATTTTTCGGGCTCTTTGGCCGTGTTCTGAAGGTTGTTCTTAACTTGTGTAAGTGTGTTGATATCACATGCAAGGGGAGATTGCCAACAATTAAAGAGTTCCTGCTTTGATCTCAATGCACCCACATCTTGCTGGCAAATTGTCTTATTATGAATGAGTTGAGCAGCCCTCAAGACTGAAGCAGGATGTTTTTGATTATTGACAATCTCCTCTTGCAGGTGACTTCATCACCCTTACGCAGGCTTAATTTATGAGGAAGTTGGCTTGTACTTACCGTTTACTTGGGGAAAAAACCCACAACAAACTATTCACATAAAAGATGCTTCTTAAAATTAGTCCTAAGAGAATAGAATTCCCAAAGGTTGTGTAAGTATGTTGATATCATGTGCAAGGGGAGATTGCCAACAATTATAGAGTTCCTGATTTGATCTCAATGCACCCACATCTTGCTGGCAAATTGTCTTATTATGAATGAGTTGAGCAGCCCTCAAGACTGAAGCAGGATGTTTTTGATTATTGACAATCTCCTCTTGCAGGTGACTTCATCACCCTTACGCAGGCTTAATTTATGAGGAAGTTGGCTTGTACTTACCGTTTACTTGGGGAAAAAACCCACAACAAACTATTCACATAAAAGATGCTTCTTAAAATTAGTCCTAAGAGAATAGAATTCCCAAAGAAAGAGAGAGATAGAGAGCTCAATGGCCCAACGCTGTAACAAGACAATAGGTCGGTGCTGCTGCTGAAGGTAGGTTCTCACTTCATGTGAGGAGATGGATCAAGGAAATAAGGAAGGGAGATTGCATATAAACAAAGCAAAGCAAAGCAGAACAAAGTTAAATGGGGGGAATAATGCTAAGGTGCAGAGGGAAGGAGATATATCACCATTGCCACCAACAAAATCTATCGATGAACACAGATAAGCATAAAACAACATGGTATTGTGGTTCACCCAAGCAAATTGTACACTGGAGTGAATTGGAGCAAAACAGAACCAACCAGCCACCATACTTCCTCCTAAAACATCCATCTAAATAGATGATCTTTGTTGTATTAATGTGTGTGTCTTTGACATATTTTAAATTATACTTTTCAATTTTTTCAGTAAGTTCTCAGAAACCAAATATACTTCTAGATATTTTTAATTTATAAATGGTAATAAAACTCATGCTCCAATTCATTAGTCATATTAGATTGAATGAAGGTGTTGAATTGCTCAATCAAATGATTAGGGCGGGGGACATGAAGGAGGCCCCTAAGATTGATGGGCATGAACAGGGGAGCTTTGCCAACGTTTGGACTCTGAGAAACCGTACTCTCTTCGCCCAGTGGCTATGCAGGCTGGGGATTCTGACCCCTTTCCATATTCTATTGATTCCATTCCAGAAGGGATGATTTTCCAGCCTTGCCCTTATAACCTGCAACCACTCAAGCTAAGCAGATGCATGTTTCCTTTGTATAAATGCCAGATGGTTGCCTTTTGTTCATTGGTGATTACATGCCAGGGTGAATAACGATCCTCTTTTCCTGCCAGCTTCTGAAGTGGAATTCTTAGCAAAGCAGAAGCATATCTACCTCTTTCCGAATGGGCAGATCAACATCTGCAGCATTAACTCCAAGAACCTGGACTATGTCACCCAGAGCATCCATGAGGCAGTTATGGCCACCACCCTTCAAGACAGGCAGAGTGTGGAGAACACTGAGAAGATTTGTCCAAGATTCCACCAGCAGGATTTGCCATCAGAGTCTTCCTCAAATAACTAGGCATCATAATAAAGACAGTGCTTTGGAAGCCTTTTGTCAAATAAATCATATCAGATTTATTTGTTTGGTTCCAGACTAGCAGCTTTTTTTGGACTGCAGCTTCCAGAATTCTCCAGTCACCATGGACAATATGGATTTCAGCAGCTGTAGTCCAAGTAATTTTTGCAAGCTCTGAAGCAAAACTACATAATCAGATATCTTGCATACTAAATGCGGTGGGCTCAACAACGGGTCACTTATCAGGGGCGCAAAACCTCTTGATGATGCACACCAAGGGTGAGCTCTTCTCCAACCTGGAGATGGGGCTGAATTGGCCACTTTGCAACCCCTTAGTGGCATATTCTTCCTTTGTTTTTGATACAAGTCACTGCACAAGCTTTATGGTGCAGAAAGGTGCCAGAGTGTCCCATTGTACCATTCAGCCTTGTGAAGCCATGGGCCAGGAAACACAAGGGGCACTGATCTTGGTAGTGCCAATGTGATGTTGGTGGAACTGATTATGACAAAGATAGGGCAACTCAAGGAGATTTCAAAAATGGTTGTCGGTGGGTGGGCTAAGAGTGCATCAGGATGAGCCTTCTAAACCTATCCAGGGAAGATGTCTCCACTTTCAAAACCTTCTATCCCTCAAACAACAGGTAGAATCTGGAGAAGAGGATCTGAAACAGTGGAATAGGGAGCATAAAAGCTTTTGATCCACTCTAAGACTTTATTGGAATAAGGTGCAGCTTGTTTTTTTTTTCCATATCTACCCCCGGCACTAGGTAAAAAGGAAAATGCAATGGGTGGGCAGCAGGAATTTCTTCCCAGCTGTTCCTATGAAGCCCTCTCTATGTCTCTCTCTTTTGGGTGACAAAGCTTGTGCATACCACACAACTTGTCCTGGACCCCCTAAACCAGCCTGTTGCCTCTGGTTTGCCACTACTGAAGGAAGAGCCAGATGCCAATGTGGAGGCAATCAATTTTCTTTCTTTCTTTCTTTCTTTCTTTCTTTCTTTCTTTCTTTCTTTCTTTCTTTCTTTCTTTCTTTTGTCTATTATGAATTCTCAAAAAGCTATTCTCTGCAATAGCCATATACTCAGGGCCAGGCTGTTGCCTTCAGAATGCATAAATGCCAAATAATCCTGACTTACCCTTCCCCGTTGTTAGAAATAACAACCTACATGTCAGCTACATGTGGATTGGTAATCTAAGCTTCCTTCCTTTCCTCTCTGAGGTTACTTCCACTTTGTTCTTGATCCTAATTAGAAAAAACAGACCTATACACAAGGCATTCTATAACAGAGGACTTCTATAACAAAGGAACCTTAAGAAAACCAATGTACATGTAGTGTGAGAAGCAACAATATTTATTTATTTATTTATTTTATTGGACTTATATACCGCCCCATAGTGCTACAAGCACTCTCAGGGTGGTTTACAATTTTTAATTATACAGGCTACACATTGCCCCCCCAGCAAGCTGGGTACTCATTTTACCGACCTCGGAAGGATGGAAGGCTGAGTCAACCTTGAGCCGGCTACCTGGGATTTGAACCCCAGGTCGTGAGCACAGTTTTAGCTGCAGTACAGCGTTTTAACCACTGCACCACGAGGCTCTTCTCTTAGGAATATGGGAAGTATTCCTAATTATCTGTGACTCTCCCCACACTGTTACATGCATCAGTGCTTTATTTTATCAAGAGATACTATTTTTCCTATGTACCTAGTACCACAATGTATTGGACCAGCCCTGCATGCTTTGTGATGGCCTATAGATTTCCCAGAAGTACAAGCTGGATTTCGAAGGGGCAGAGGAACTAGAGATCAAATTGCTAACATGTGCTGGATTATGGAGAAAGCCAAAGGGTTCCATAAAAACATTTACTTCTGCTCCATTGATTATGCAAAAGTCTTTGACTGTGTGGACCACAGCAAACTATGGTAAATTCTTACAGAAATGGGAGTGCCTGACCACCATATCCATCTCCTGAGAAATCTATATGTAGGACAGGAAGCAACAGTTAGAACTGGATATGGAACAACTGATCGGTTCAAAATTGGGAAAGGAGTACAACAAGGCTATATATTGTCCCCCTGCTTGTTTAACTTATATGGAGAATACATCATGCGGAAGGCTGGACTGGAGGAATCCCAAGCCAGAATTAAGATTGCTGGAAGAAATATCAACAACCTCTGATATGCAGATGATACCACTCTGATGGCAGAAAGTGAGGAGGAATTAAAGAACCTCTTAATGAGGATGAAAGAAGAGAGTGCCAAAAATGAAGCTCAACATCAAAAAAACTAAGATCATGGCCACTGGTCCCATCACTACCTGGCAAATCGAAGGGGAAGAGATGGAGGCTTTGACAGATTTTACTTTCTTGGGCTCCGTGATAATTGCAGATGGTGACAGCAGCCACGAAATTAAAAGATGCCTGCTTCTTGAGAGGAAAGCGATGACAAACCTATACAGCATCTTAAAAAGCAGAGTCATCACCTTGCCAAAAAAGGTTCGTATAGTCAAAGCTATGGTTTTTCCAGTAGCGATTTACGGAAATGAGAGCTGGACCATAGAGAAGGCTGACCGCTGAATAATTGATGCTTTTGAATTGTGGTGCTGGAGGAGAATCTTGAGAGTCCCCTGAACTGCAAGGAGAATGAAACCAATCAATTCTAAAGGAAATCAACCCTGAGTGCTCACTGGAAGGACAGATCCTGAAGCTGAGACTCTTAATACTTTGGCCATTTGATGAGAAGACTCCCTGGAAAAGACCCTGATGTTGGGAAAATGTGAAGGCAAGAGGAGAAGGGGACAACAGAGGATGAGATGTTTGGACAGTGTCATCGAAGCAACCAACATGAATTTGACCAAACTCTGGGAGGCAGTGGAAGAAAGGAGGGCCTGGCTTGTTCTGGTCCATGGGGTCACAAAGAGTCAGACATGACTTAATGTCTAAACCAGGGGTGTCCAACCTTTCACATTCCCTGGGCCACATTAGAAGATGAAAATTTGGTTTGGGCCGCACATACATTTGGTTTGGGCCACATGGGGGGGGGCAGCCCTAGCTGTCCTCCGCAGCCCCGCTCCAAGCGTGCTTACCGGCAGCTGCGATCTCAGACAGCAGAGGCTGCCAGCTTCGACTCCGGCGGCTTCATGGGGCCGGGAGGGGGTCCACCTATTGACGGGAATGGCGCAATGCAGTCACGCAGCCCCCCTTTCTCCCCTCCCTTACCACTCCTTCCTTCCTTCCCTCTCTCCCCCTCTACTGTTGTGACATTCCCCGGCCATATTCTGGCCGCAAGCACCGGCAGTGTAACTTGAAACTTTGGAATTTCTTTAAAAATAAAAAATTGCACTGGGCCACATTATAAGCTGACCTGGGCCGCATGCGGCCCTCGGGCCGCAGGTTGGACAAGCCTGGTCTAAACAAATAGATTTCCTTAAGAAAATATTGGTTAATGAACTCTACACAGCTACAAGGATCGGTGATCACTGCATACAAAATACCAGCTAACGAGATCCATCTATCACAGTGACAGATAATCTCTCCCTTTTATCACAACAATACACCCATAACAAAAAACATGCTCATCACCAGAATCACCCATCTCCTGAAAAGGGACAAAAGCTGATCCCACAGCTATAAATACTCAACTATCCAAACAAACTGCACCAGAGCACAGACAGAGTTCTGATTCTGAAGATGCCAGTCACAGAGACTGGTGAAACATTAGGAAGAACAACCTTCACAACATGGCCAAAGACCCCGAAAAACCCACAACAACCATCAGATCCCGGCCATGAAAGTCTTCAAGAATACATTGTGTAGAAAGTTTCAGCTTGGTAAGTCACTTGATTCATCAAATTATTGGGATGTGTATTCCCTTTAATAGATCCACATTCTAAAATAAATAAGATATTATTCCATTACTACTTGAACAGTGAGTTTTAAGCTGGTCTATGTAAGTTCTAACATGTTTTTCTGAATGACCCAGAATGACTTCTAACTGCATCTACTTGAAATCGTCACCCCCAGAAGCTTGTTTGCTCAAAGGCCTGATCATTTGCTGAGGCTACCTAATTAGTTTTTGAGCAGTCGCAACAGGTGTCCTGTTTCTTGATCATGGCTTTCTTCTCAGAGATTAAAGTACTTCCTTTCAGTGTGTGTTTTTTCATAATCACCAGCTTGTTCAAAATTCACTGGCACTAGATATATGCATCTGCCATGAACAAGTCTACATAGCAATGAAGGAATAGCAGCTCGGATTTACTGTTAGTCACTGATTTTTGGGACTGTAACTAGCCATTTTGGGGCAAGCATTACCCTCTCCCATCCACTCTGGCTTAAGGAAAGGGTGAAAGGGGTATCCCCCAAAAAGAATATTTTCTTTTATGAGAGAGAGAGAGAGAGAGAGAGGGGTATCCCCCCAAAAGAATATTTTATGCGTGTGTGTGTGTGTGAGAGAGAAAGAACTGGGAGGTTTATTTTAAATTCTCATCACATTTGCCATTAGACGTCCCAGTAGTTCCAGTGCTCTTTAAACTGTGGGGCAAGGCCCCAGTTGCCCACTCAAGTTATGGCCTTGCCAACTTGTCTTCTTTCTGCATGGCAAACTGTACATATCACAGCTGTGTATGGATCCCTGTAATAGGGTCACATTATATCCTCCTTCCCTCTTGCCGTCGATTTGTCTGGCCTTTGTGAGAATTGATACCTGCAATGATACAAGCTTGCTTTGCTCTGGCAGGAGTTAATACAGGCAGGGTCGCTCTCACACAGAAGGGCTTCGCACTGGATCAGGGAATAAGATGTCTCTCCAGACCTTGTTGGACAGAACATCTCTGTGCCAACTATGGTTCATGGCCGTTCCAGTACAATAGCACCCAGACTGGGGTGTATCATTATTGGATCATTAAAAAGTTACAATTCAGGAAAGTGTTCACATTCTCCTGAAGGTGGCATAAAATTGAGGCTTAGAGTAAATAGTTCAAAATTGCCCCAAGACTTTTTAGA